CCATCTCCACCATCATGTCTTGGTTTAGGGTTAAGCATTAACCAACCAAACATGAACACACACCGAATCTACCTCAGGAAATAAAACAGAACCCTTTTTATCCCCATTAACATCAGAAAGCCTCCAAGAAGACAAAGCAAAGATACTTTTTTATGCCTTAGTTTAGATCACATTCATAGCTTTATTTATTTGATTTTTCATTTTTTATCTTTAATTTTTAATTTAATTAAAATTACTCGATTAATCAGTGGAATATTCAACAGAATACTCGATTGTTAGAATAACCGATGCAGCCCTAAAACACACGATACCCGAGGTAGTGCTGGTTTCTTCCATGCTGACATACACAGTGGAAATGGTTGCACCTTTCATGCTTGGTTATATAAAAGTACCCCTCTGGCACCAAGTAGATGCACCTATAGCATAAATCTGAAAATCCCAGGTGATTTTCAGAAAATTGACCTCTGACCTTGACGACAAAGTCATCGGGATTCAAACTTGTCTGAGATTTTTAGTAGTGTAACGTATGGTATGATTTTTTAAAAAAAATCTTATGTTGCCATGTTTTTGTTTTTTTAGATTTTTAGAAAAACTTGACCGTTAAGCTTGATTGTGACCATTGATCTAAGATTTTTAGTACATGCGCTTTGGTCTGACTTTGAATATCCAATGTGATTTCCTTCATAAGAGTCACACACAAGATTCTCAGAACACTTGACTTGCGACACTGAAACTCATCTGAAATTTCTAGTAGACGCACATCTCGTATCAAATTAAAAATCATACGATGACAGATTCCCGAGTGACTGCATCCACAAACTTTGTACAGTGATGTACATGACGAATGAAAAACATCACCGAACCAAACGTTTATGCTGTTGTCTTCCTTGTGCACAGCCATACGTTCCCAATGTGTCTTTACAACCGCTCAGGTTTTGTTTCATCTGGTCACATCCCGCTCTCACTTTTTGCAGTGTAGCCCGGGGCAGTCGCTGCAGATGAGCTGGAGGCACAGATCTGGGAGCAGGTCTTTCTCTATGGGCGTGTCAATGATAGATTAGTGTGGGAGCATAGGGATTCCCAGACTGCACAGAGGGCCACCACTGCAACAGTTCTGTTTTAACTTTATTGCAGTTTATTGTTTGATAACAGCATTTTGGTTATTTTGTAAGTGATTTAAGTGTTAGTCACATGTTTAGTGAGAGCTGTTAATTATAGATTTAATTTTCTGCTAAAGGGGAGCATTTAACAGGTATTTTCATTAGAAAACTGCGTTTCCCAGAATCCTTTGTGGTAGACGAAAGTTACTCTGGGTTTTTTTTTTAGCTAGCAAGAAGAAAGTTTTCGGGAAGCCATTATATGTTGCTCTGATGTCGAGCAGTTTATTTGTTATACATTCCCCCTTTTGAAGCCTTATATAAAGACTATCGTTTCTACAACTGATTTCGATCCATTTTTTTGGCTAAGTGGATTCACCACAACAAGTTCTTTGGAAACCTTCTTGTTTTTAAGTTTGAGCCTGACTGATTCCCCCCCCCCATCAGCCATTCCCTCTGAAGAACACATGAGCATATTCCACATCTATCGAGTATACTGACTATATGGACAGCCGTGTGCAGTCAGGCCATAAAAAGGTAAATCCTTTCTCTGTGTGGGAACAGGTGTTTTCCTGCTCCGGGGAGATTGTTTATACAACATCCATAATTGATTAGAGAGAGAGATGGAAAAATATGAAAAAAAAATCTTTTAAATATCAGACTGTTGTCACAGACGGGTGGAAATTATAGATTTTCTTCACTTTTTGTATCGGCCACTCAAACTTTTCACCAGCCATTATTTTTCTATTTTGTGTGTAACATTTGAATGATGCATTTCACCTCCTTATGGCCTTTAGACAATCCGAGGTCCTTCATGGCCTCTAATTCTGAGTATTTTATGCTAACAATAAAGCTATCAGTCTTGCTGCTGGAAGGCGTGTGCTGCCGACAGTTGGAACAAAACATTGACTGGCTGCTCTCATCAAAAGTGAGCCAGTCGCGTAACTCGCTGTTGTCACTTCTTTTCCATTTTTCGTTAAAAAACTGCCGTTTAACGTCCCATCGTAACACCTCTTGAGGAGTGTTTTTGTTTCTGCCACCTGCTTAGCTCCACAAATGTAACACCACATTGCTAAACTGCTCGAATTGTCCCTCCTCTTTCAAAAGCCCCTTTTCCATTAGTACCTCCTCGGATCGACTCGCCACGGATCACCAAGACTCGGATCGACTGGTGTTCCATTGTAAACCAGTACTACCAAACCCGCGTGGTTGTCACCATTGCAATGTGTTTGAGCATCCCGCGACGTCGAGGCGACGATATACTTGCTGCTCCGTCTGTGGCTTCTTATCACTCGTGAACCACAGCGTTGTTTGTTTGGAGCCATTTCCCTCATTGCCTGGTTTCAAAGATGGCAGTTTTAACTTTCGTGAACAAGACGTGCTCGTGACTCGTCAAGTGACGCTACTGACCAGCCAATCTGTCGACGACACATTTTAGTACCTGCTCGGATCGCATAACGGCATTTAGAGCAGACTGGCAGCAACACATCCGCCCACGACAGGTCAGGACTGCAAATTAAACGTAGTTTTTTCTGTTCAAACTTAAATCCGCCATGGTGGCTTCTGCATTGTTCAAATTTACCACGACTTCATAAACTTACCCGCATTTGGCCAGTGGCGGGTGCTAATTTCCACCCCTGGTCACAGATCATAATAAGAAATGTCCAAGAATATACTTGGACATTCTTTAATATTACAGTCCCAGGTTTTCAAGAACAGATCAAAAAATTTATTAACCTCATCACACCACAGACGCCACTGGGAAGCATGGAAAACCGCATGTATATGAAAGTTCAGAAACATACCTGTATCTAATACACAAAAGCGTCCAAAGTCAGGATATTATTCTGAACAGCCATGTCTCTCTACAGACTGTTACTGAGACATGTACCACAGCCTTTTATTAAACTAGTACCACTTCCAGACTCATCAGTACCAAAGTATTGTTAAGTGTCTGGACAAACTGTTATTTAAGCAATGTTAATGTATTCTTACAGAGCTCATGTTTCCTTCTTTTCAGCTGAAACAAAGGAGCTTTAAACCTGCTGGTCTTCAGCACAGCCTTCTGACTCCAACGCTGATGGTATTTGTAAAATAGTTACTTACCTGGGAAAAAACAAGTCTATCTTATTGGATTGTTTTAAGTTTTTTTTTATCATAACTTCTTAAAGAGGTATGAAATGGAAATTGAATGATTTCTGTCTCATATAGAATCCTTTATAGGCTGGATAAACGCTCACTTTATAACTAACCATTACTGACACAATAACCAAGTTTTTTTTAAGCACCACTCACTTTTCCATCTACTATTTTTTAAACCACCGTCCTCGACTTTTACTGCAAGGTTGGCATCAAATTTAAAATGTGCAACATTCCTTAGTTTCGACATTTCAAATGCTTTCTTTGTTCCATTTTTAGTCGAGACAATACATTACTTACAAACCATCACATTGTTTTTGTTTACTTTTTCCACACTGTCACACCTTTCTAAAAATCAAGGAGGTACACTACTACAAAAATGTAAAAAGCTTTCACTGTGGCAGCGAGGATGTGTATCCTGCTATGGCTGCCAGGAGATTCAAGAAAAAGGACGAGTAAAAAACTCCACAGCTGAGATTACACTACTACTCAACAGCAGGGACCTTTCATTCATACAACCCCACAATCACCAAGTGTGTGGAAGGCTGAATGTTTTAGGTCTGGAAACGTTTACCCTAACATTCAAAGGCTCGGGTGTTGCTTTAATGCCACACTGTCACAAATTTGCCATAAAGAAGAGAAAAGTGACAAAACAATGAGAGCTTTTATTCCCACAGTTTTCCTGTGGCAAAGATCTGAGTTGTACAGTCAATCCTGTATGAAGATGAAGTTAAAATGGCTAGCTCCTGTTGACAAACCTCTTATAGGAGAGGAAGGCACAGATATCCGTCTCCATTTCACCTCAAAGATAACTGTACTGTATTATCCTATGTAGCGCAACTGAAAGAAGTCAATGTAAATATCAGCATGTGACTGCCTGAAATCCCGAGCAAGCAGCAGCAGCAGCAGCAGAGAGGCTGAAGAGGCACCAATTTGTCTGAAATGAGCTTGTGTGCACCAAAGAATAATAGCAGCACACATTAAATATTGATTCCAGTTTGGTGTCTAACGTCATCTCGACATCCACCTCCGTTAATCCGCCGATCAGGAAACAATCAACCGTCTGGCCCGAGTAAAGCCTTGCCCTTACAGTAAAATGTTGGTTATGCTGACAGGCGCCAGGCAGCCATTTAGGTGCATATGGAGTCAGTTGAGTCTCTACGTAAATGGCTGATGCATTTCGAATTTTTCTTCCTAATTGCTGAGAGCCATCAGCACCCCCGGCCTCCTCCTAGCGCCTTTTAATCCGCCACTTTATATAGCCTTGCTTCAATAAAACCGTCTCACGACCTCGTCTCATTCCACTGTTCTCTCAAGAAGCTTGTACTAGTACCTGAAAGACCGTGTTTCTTTATCGAGTCTGAGTTAACCCCTAGAGACTCTGGATGAAACAATGAAACGGATTGGAGGCACTCCGACCAACGTTTCCATCAGAATGTAATTACAACACGTCCGTTAGCAGCTCGGCGCTTATCAAAACAAAAAAGCCACACACGATAAAAAAAAAGATCCATAAGTGTTTGTGTTGCGATTGGAGGCCTTTAAATGTAAAGTAACAGTTGCAGGCGGCATTGCTGGTCGCCAACATGTCAGCATGCATCAATAAATAGCGAAGCAAAGGCGCTCCATTGTCTGACAGCGTATCAGCGTATCCGCTAACAGGAAAACGACACAATAACCGTCCGGCTGCGACGTCAAATCCACAGTTGCCGTTTCAAAACATCCCTGACCAGAACCAGGCCCCGTACACATCCTCGGACTCACCTGTATCTCCTTTCGCCTCAGTGTGTAGCGTCTCCGGGTTCACGGTCCGGTCCTGACGCGTTGCAGCAGCCCCTCACCACCAGTCCCCGGCACCGGCAGGCAGCACTGAGAAGCTGATTGGGCCTCGATAGACACTCACCCTTTCGGTGCATCCAGACAGCCAGCTAATTGGTCAGACGCTCTCTCCGTGAAGTCCAGACAGCGCAATGAATGGCTGTTCGTTTCCACAGAAGACCCAGACAGACAGCTGATTGGTGGTTTATTTCCGCGGCGGAGACAGAGTGCGACTTGATTGGATGGTAGTAGTGTTGTTGTCTGTGTCTATATGGAGAGCCATGTTACCTCAAACGAGACGAAAAAAACAGTGTTTGGTTGTATTCACTGAACTAAACCGGATCATTTATGGTGCTCCAAATAATTTTTACCCAACGACGTCTGAACGACCAAAAACAACAGCTACATTTTCCGAGGAGAATTTTAGTGACTTCTTGTTACACCCGTTTCCTAACGGGTATTCTGTCCTTACATGCATGACAAAGACCCAAGGGAGGACAAATGTAGCTCGGACAGCATTGGATGGTTCAATGATAGGAAACGTCATTACTTCTATCCCAACTACTGCGCTGCAGAGCGGGTCTTTGTAGGCAGTAGTAGCAGGTTTATAGTGGTAGGCTGGTCAGGGGACGCTGCCCGCATGCCTTTAGGACTTGCAGAACATGGAATAATATACATGCTAAATAAAATGATTTTGTATAGCACTTATCTAGTATCATCAACTACTCAAAGCACTTTACACATACCTATATTCTGAAAATTCTGAAGTATCCAGCACTAGCCTATGTCACACTGACAAGATCAGGAAAATCATTTCACCATCCTTTACTGGATGATTTTGTCAATATCAATGGCTTAAAAATGTCATTTTTTGAGTGGAAATAACTTTGGTCACATCTTCATGTACAGTACATTTGTGCATAACTACCTACAACAGTAAAATACACACATCAGCCACAACATTAAACAGTTAAAGTGAAAAACAATGATAATCTCATTCCTCATTTTTCCTGGGAAACCTTCAGGTCTCAGCATCATGTAGATATCGTCTTAACATGAACACTCAACTAAACACTGTTGTAATCCTCCATGGCAACGGAAGATGATTAGGGCCACCGAAAGAAAAAAAGTGGGCAAAAGTCAGAATTCTGACTTTTTCCTCAGGATTCTGTAAAAGAAGAAAAAAACGACCTGCCCACTTTTTTACCTGTGGCCCTAATCCTCTTCTATACAACCTTCCTCAAGTAGGACAAGGCACCCATTTACTCAGTAATAACTAGGAGCGTCTCGAGGAACACATTGTCAGGGTCCATGCAGGTCGTGAAAAAGTATTACAACTATAGTTAAGTAAATATCTACTGTATTAACACAAATGATTTATTATTAGTTGAAAACTATTCCTTGCATATAATATGCACACAATAAGGAATAAAACACATCTCAACCCACATGAAGCTGATACTAATACTAGTATTAATTACTAATGTGAAAGGGCTGCTGAGCCTGTCTGTTTTATTAGACGTCAGAGCTGCCGTCCACTCCCGTCATGGTTGCAGCTTTCATTGCTAAATTAATAAAAAGAGTTGCCTCCCACTACTCTCTCATCAGTTTATTGTCAAAGGCTAGTTTATACGCAAAGCCCCTTCACAGATCACCAGGAGAAAGCAGTAGGCATCTCAGGTTGCCCAGCTCCAGCCAAATAAGAGACGGATATGTCCTCAAAACGCAGAGAGCTGCAGTTTTCTATGAGATTAAAAGAAGTGCAGCTTTCAGCAACAATATCTGACTGCGGCCACAAGATGGCACTAATGTAAAGGATTGATGCACATGTTGACTGACAGGCCAGAAGCTTTTTGACAGTGTTGTCTGAGGTGAAAGGAGAGTGATCACTTTACTTTGGTAGTTTTAATTTCCTTGCTTTTCCCAGTGGAATGGCACTGGAGCGTTGGTCTGACCTGCAAACTACCCAGATCAGAATAACTAACAATACTGTCAGTGCAGTAAGGCGGGTTGTTTCAGTGTTGTTTTTAATCTTAGCTACTTTTTTAAAACTATTACTTGGAATGGCAAGATTGTTTTTGACATTATCTGTTCATCTATAGTGCATTCCTTCTCTTGCTATATCAATCACCTTTGTAATGTTGCTTTCAAAATAAAGGTTTTACTTCTTTGACTTTTGACAGTGTTGTGATTCAGCAAAAGCAGAAAAGACAGAAGACATGAATCAGTGGCTTTGGTGTAGTTTAGCCTGTAGCTACTTTTGGCTGCACTCTTGTCACCACAGTAGGTAACTCTGCATGTTTGATTGGCAGTTTTATTCCAATGCGCTTCCAGACATAACCCCAAAGGTGATGTGTATCTCCAGCTAGAACTGACTAAGTGACCTTTGCTGGACTTTGTGGACTTTCCACTAATTAATGTGCTACCCACATTAACCACATTAGTGTAGTGGGTAGCACTACAATAATTAATGATTCTGATTAAATTATAATTTGCATAAGAGGTAACCCAGATAATCGTTTTATGATCAATGATGGCAATAGAAGGGTTTTGATATTAAATGAATGCACTGGTCATAATTTTCAAATCTGTTTGTGGATTTATTATAAGATTGCATTATTCTTCTTTTTTAAAATCATGTGTGAAAGCGACAGTTACACTCTTTCGTCCATCCGGTATAGTGAAAATAACAAATAACAAAGTTTGACGTTTTTACAGTTTACATTAAAATTTGAATCATATATATTTAATCTCTGTAATATTCTGAATATTTATAATTGAGTTATTTGCATATATTAGAGCTATTGCTTATATTTTGTAGCTTCGTAATCAGTGTTGGGGAGTAACGGAATACATGTACCGCCGTTACGTATTTAAAATACAAAATATGAGTAACTGTATTCCGTTACAGTTACCGTTTAAAAAGGTGGTATTCAGAATACAGTTACTTTGTTGAAATAAATGGATTACACTGCGGTACTTTCCTGTTTCATATTGTCGCGGGTCAGGACTGTTTGGGTTTTGTTTGACAGCTACGTTCTGTTGTTCCAGGCGGCAGCGTTACGGTTGCCATGGTTACAGGGCGACGCTCTCTCTCTCTCTGCGACTGTGTGTTTCCTGGGTGAGAGGGCGCCTTTTCGTTGTTGTTGTTGTGCTAAGCTAACAGGCAGAATGCTACAAGCATAGCTCTAAAGAATGTAGCATCATGGGCAGTGTAGTCCGTGCTGCAGGGAGAATGGACTGCCATACACGTTATGTGTCTGTGAGCGCGAGGAGGGAGAAAAAGGGGAGTGGAAAGGTACGAGTTGTCATCGAGGAAAAACGGGAGCTGGAAGCATGTAAATATAATAATAACCACTGCAGCCAAGAAGAGAGCCTGACGAGCCCAGTTGTAAGTAAGCTATTAAGACTCGACTGTACACCGTGTTCGTGTTTTCCTCCGAAAACAATAAGTTCCGTTGGAGCAGCCTTTCAACGCCTCTCTCTGTCTCTCGCAAGAAAAGTTGACCCACACAACAAAGTAAAGCTATTTTCGGCTACGAGCCGACAGGGACCCCGCCGTATTAGTCAGAGGTCCCTTTACTACAGTTCGGAGTCGCGGACCTTCAGTAATAGTAATAAATCACACAGCAATAGTACATTCACGTTGTTGTAAAAAGCATGATAATATATTAAGTAATCCAAAGTATTCAGAATACGTTACTGTCATTGAGTAACGTAACGGAATACGTTACAGAATACATTTTGGGGCATGTATTCTGTATTCTGTAGTGGAATACATTTTAAAAGTAACCTTCCCAACACTGTTCGTAATATACTATATTATTTAATTGAGTTCAGTCTGTTGCTGTTCACTGTAACCACATAATTTCCTTTCAAGATTAATAATGTATTGTTTTTCTGATTCACACACAGAGATGGATAGATAGATGGATAGGTAGGTATTGTATCCTTCAAGCTCAGCTTCTCTACCAGAGGCCTGAGATCTTGAGGTATGTATTATACTTGATATCATGTTAGGATTTTTTCCCCATCTTTACAAGTGTCAGATTTCTTCAGTATAATAATGCAACTGTTCACATGAAACAGAAGGAATCTGTTGGTTTTCAATGTGAATTTCTTTTTCGAATTGGCCAAACACTGCATCTTTAAAATCTGCAGGAACCTTTGGTGGTACAAATTGTACAGTCTTCAAGGCACTTTTGATGGAGTGCTGATGATGTGGGGTGGATGACTCTGTATTTACAAGGAGAGGCACATGTGTCACAGCCAGCGGGGCAAGCCGTGTGGAGTTTAATAAGGACCCAAAACGCAGGCACTGAAGGGAAGGAAAAGCGGAGGTAACATGGAAAATGACCAGCAGGGAGAACAGCATGGAGGAACAAGTCCACAGAAAACAAAATCAAAAGCAAAATCAAAGTCTACAGAAAACACTGGAGCTCACAAATACAGTCCAAACACAGTTCAGGGGGTCGGCCTGGGGGCTGACAGCAAAGAAGTCCATACGGTTCTGCAGGCCGACCAGGAGGTCGGTAGCACAGGAGTCAAGGGGAAAACAGTTCAGGGGGCCGACCACGCCGAAGGCAGTGGCGGCAACACAGGCGAAGTAAATCTGGAGACCGGCCGGGTGGAAGGCAGCGGCGGTGACTCAGGCGAAATAGATCCTTGGAGAGAGTTACTGTCTTTAAAGCAGCCAGTTCTTGGCAACACAGGAGAATGAGCTGAACTTAAACAGAAAACACTGGGAAACACCCAGGACCATGACAACATGCCCCTTATTTCACTTTACAAACAGCAACATGATAAAACCAGTGGACTGCTGCTTTTCCTTGCCACATACATTGTATCACTTCAACAATGCACCAGAAGAAACAATGTAGAAGGGCAGGGTAGATGCATAGGTTGATGAGCCAGGCGGGCGGTTGGGAGTAGGAGGGCACGGAGAGGTTAGTCTTGATGGGAAGCGTGAAGGCAGGTACCCTATAGATGCCTCAAAGGAAGACAAGACTGTAGCGGAGAAGGTGAGAGAGTTTTGTGTGCGTTTGATCCAGGAGAGCTGTGTAGACCAGGAAGATAGGTTCTGGGAGGTGACACAACGGAGAGCCATCTCCAGTTCGTGATTGTAATAGATCCACAGCAGACCGGTCCACATTTGAATGCTTCTCAGCATACTTTATTGACACTCTTCTTCCACACACGGTTGCTGTATACACACTAGCCTTTCTGTTTGACCATTGGTTTGTGAATGAAAACTCGAGCTGAGACATGCTTTGGCTCTAAGTGCAGAAAGGTTTCCATACTTGAGAGATGAATTGGGGACTCCAATCAGACACTCTTTCTGTAGCAATGGCAACTTGAAAACATGATTGATTAAGAGTTTAGCGTTTTCCACGGCATTGGACAATTTCTCTCGGGGAATAAAGTGAGTGGACTTGGAAAACCTGTCAACTACTGAAAGAATGTTACCCATTACC